AACCGCTTTTTGAGAGAAATCTCTCGACATATCGTATTGCAAACGTCGAAGTAGAATTGTCTCGATTTGTGGTTAGGCGCATCTATACTGTAAATAGCTGCATTAGCATTCTTGAAGTAAACGACCATGTATAAAATTTCATACGTTGTTTAGGTTTTTAGTACTAGTTATTTCAAATCAGTTACCAATTATATGAACAAATTGCAAATAAACTGCAAAAATATACTCATTTGGCTTTTTATTTTCTCCTTCCCTTATAATTCCTTATGGAATATAATACGAGGAAATCAGTTACAGTAGAAGGGATAATGGCGTTTAGTTTTTTGGTACTTTTTTTATTGAGTGTTGCGAATATATACAAAGGATGGCGAACTAATAATAACTATTACATTAGAACCAAATAAACAAAGATTATCATGATAGTATCAACGTGTGTTTATATTCGTTTAAATAACATAATGTTCATAATGGTGTGTATGTGTACCGAATTTTGAAAATATGTCACTGCATATGCCAAAAGCGTCTCATTGCCATTTATTTCTTTATTCATATCTTTTTCTTTATATGTACACGTATATGTATGTGTGTGTTTGCGCGCGCGCGCGCGCGTGTAATTGCTTTTGCTCCATTTTGACATCGCTTCGGAACTTTCAATCCTCGACCAAAAGGAAAGTTCGAGATCGAAGGTCGAATGTAGCGATGAAAATTGCTGCGTTCGAAAGAAAAAAGACGGATCTATCGAATATTCTATCGGTTTATCGGTTACCCTCTTAATAGATAAATCCTTTCTCTTTATTCAAAACGATAAGTTAGAATTTAGAAAATAAAAAACTACCACCTGATTAGTATCTTATTTTTATTTTGCTTTTTTTCCTGAATTTTCTTTTAAATAAATAATAATGCATCATCGCTTCTGAGCAGTAAACGAATCATTATTATGGTTTCACGGATTGCGAATCGGGTGGCTGCGATTATGGGTATCTGCCGCCATTTGCATTGTACGGTAAGTTTAAGTATGAAAAGTGAAAAATTTTTATATTGTTTAAGACTCGCATCTGTTTCCGCCATATTGTGATTTGTGCGTTTGAATCGATACAAATCCGATTTCGTTCGTTCGGAGCTGGGCTAAGATTTAGAGAGATGCGATTAGTCGGTGTAGATACAAAATCGTGTAAAAAAATGTGAACACGTTCCCCCACTCGTCGATCATTCTGACAAGTTTTGTTCGATTCGCAATCGTGGAAACGTTCGAAACGATTTGAAGCAAGCCAATTTTAATCTCAATATTCAATCACGCTGCAACACTGCTGGTGTTGTCAAATACATGAAGGAGAAGAAAATTCAATAGAACAAATCGATTCGTGTAAAGATCGATTTCGCGAGTACGAAATATCGCGAAGTTAGATAAGAAGCAACAGAATGTCGCATATAATTGCGCATTATAATTGGCGCTCGAAGATCACCGAAAAATTCGAGCTTTTAATTCGTAACGTCGAGAGACGTCGAGAAAATCCTAACATGCATATTTTTCTTGCTCCTTTTTTTTTTATTGCTTTTATCCCGCTTCTATTCCTAACAGCGACCTCGACTTTTTAATTCGTATAATAAAATATCTTTTCCTAAATGTAAATCTTCGATCGATCGGCGCACTTCAGCCCTCATTGCTTTTCGATCCACACTCGCCTGTCGTTAATCTCAAAAAATATTTCTTCACCACAGATACACGTCGAATGATTTTTATCTTTTAATCCTTAAGCGATTTTTAATCGAAGAACGTCATCGATAATAGTGTATTAACAATCTAACCGAATGATAGAGAAAATAAATTTATTCCTACGAATTTCCTGGCTGCTACGCCCGGTACTCTTGATGGCAATTCTCCTGCGTACACGGTATTCCTGCGTACACGGTACACGCATGCGCAGTCGCGTCTACTGACAGTAAAGACGCCACTGCACTTTGTCAGACACTAATGTTTCAGCATAGACACTTCTTCACTGTTTATAATCGTGTAGGTCTATCATTGACTCGATTTCGCGATTATTTTTAGGTTACAATTTTACAATCTAAATAACAATTTAGGATAACGAAAGTTATTTAACCTAAAAATCATTCGTTGGTATCTGCTATCCTTCCGACTACCATAATTACATCTTTTTTTTTTCATCACAAAAATAGAATTCTTAAAACTTAAACTCAGTACGCTCTCTCGGTCTCTGTTCATTTCTCTTCTCCTGCCCCCCCTCTCTCACTCTCTCTCACTCTTTCTTCCTTGCTTTTGTGCCCTTTCCCTTCCGATTTCTTTCTCGTCTACTTTCAAATTTCAGTTACGTATCTCCGTACTATACACACGAGCGATCATTTGCTGAGAAGTATGCAGTCGGTGTTAACATACAGTTGCATTATTAATCTTCGATACACCGATTTTTTCGTTCAATCAGATAATTTGGAGAGACACGTCACGCTACCTAAGCGATTCGTCATTATCGCTAAAACCACGTGTCAAGGGCAATTCACAATTGCCGCGATAAATATTTTTTTATAATTTAACAATTCATTGACGCAATATGGACGTACAAACGTAAAGGAACGATTAACAATTAAAAAGGTTTGAGCAATAATTTAAATAGTCGTGCTATTTTTCTTTGTATCACCTCGATACGTTGCTACGACATGCATAATCGATGAAAGATGGCTACGACAATTAATATTCACGAGAACCCAATTTCAGGGAAAAAGAAAAGGTATATTTTAAACGCAAAACTGTAATCGATACACAGACTTTTACAATAGTCGAAATACGCATCAGTTAAATGTAGCTGTTACGTTAAGAACAGAGAAAAGGAGAAAAGGGGATTAGATAAATGCAATTAAAACAATTCCACAGATTTTGGTGAAAAAATTGACGTATCGAACGAAGGTACGATCTCGCAATTTCTCGAAATACTACGATAATTAAGCACACGTAACAAAGAGGGGCTGTAACAATTATTCTATAACAATAACCGTGTCCCTTCGTTGCGACTGCATCAATGGGGGAGAAAAAGAAAATGAAAACGAAACGAAACGACTGAGGCTTCCTTAGCAGCACACTGTTCTATATACGACAATAAATAAGGATTCGTCATACTCGATTATACAAGATATCGATTCGAGCAAAGTCACCGTTCTATACATACGAGTAACCACTGTCACCAATGTACCAGTTCCTTTTTTCTTCCTTTTTTATCAATGGTCTCCTTTTCTCTCGTTTTTCTCTATCGATCTCAAACAATTAAAACTTACAAAAAAAAAAAAAAAAAAAAAAAAAAAAAAAAAAAAAAAAAAAAAAAAAAAAAAAAGACAAAAGAAAAAGAAAGGAGAATTGTCAACAACTTTATCCCATTGAAATTACTAATAATGGATTATGTACGATTCAGAAATATAATTCGACACGCACTGCACACAGCTCAGTAAATACTTATCTCATAACTCTAAACGCCATCGTCCGTCGATAACAATAATTACATTGATCGTCGATATTTATCGATCGGTGATTCCGCTTCTTTAGTTCGATATACATATATTTATATTTATATTCATATTTTATATATTTATTTATAACGTCTAGTATTATATATATTTAATATACATATAATACCCGCGCTGACATTTTTCTATCGTTCACGCGGACGTGCACTGCACAATTGTGCATAGTATCATGTACAGAATCCCATGCACGTGTACAAGTGTGCATGTGTACATTTCTTTACGTGTCGCCACGTGAACGTTTTTCAGATTAGATACGCACACTTCGAGTTCCTGGCCTTCTTCGTCACATGGCTAAACAGATACGTTGATTTAACTATTTCTTCCATTTTGAATCTCATTTTTTTTTCTCACACGATTCCAATTACTTTGAAATTAATATCTAAAATTGAAAAATAAATCGTAAAAGGTTTTGCACTTGCTACATATTTCATTAAACGGTTGTTTAATGTCTAAACTGTAGTGTACGTAAGTAGGAAACTGTATTACGACATAGTAAAGTATTATCGTGTCATTAGATGTCTAAAGATATCATAATATATTACGGTATCGGTACATCAAGGGTCTCGAAAATGATAATATAATACACTATAGTATATTTAGTCTAAAAAGTGTCCCGAATACTTGATAACCATTAATACTGATTTTTATCGATAATTTTTTAGGTATAGCAGGGGCCAGCGTACGGCGAAGTCGAAAATCGGTCAGGCATTAAGGTGAAAATATAGTGCGTTCGAGAAAAGAAGACACAGCCTGTTTACAGCCTCACGGGTGATTAATTCCACTGGCACTTCCATCATTACAGGCAGTGACCGCTATTGGCCGAAGATGGTGACGAAGATCATCAGTCACCGTTTTCTGTGAGCGAGGGAGAATCAGTGAAGTTAATCAGTCGTGAGCATGTAAATATGCTGTGCCTTCTTTTCTCAAAGTACAATACTCGGTTGCCAGGTCACGTGATTAGCAGGAATACAGGATTACACATTCTCGATAATTTTTCGTTGGTCAATCTCAATATACAACTTCGTTATATCGTAGGAATTAAATTTGCGACCTCGCTGTATCGCGACTGCTGCGATACAAACTCGTTTTGACAATAATTCGATAAGCTAAAACGAATGAAGCTGCCAGAATGCTCGAGCGAACGACTTCCGTTTTAATTTAAAAGAAATTCCTTTGTTCGTACGATACAGAAGTTATCTATCGATTATCTTCGACGTTTAATCATCCTAGTTCAACACAGCCAAAATTTGAAATTTAAAGCGGTAAAATGTACATAGGTACTCTTAAACCGATTTTCATCTCGTACGAACGATTTCGATAAACGTGTTAGTGCATAGCTAAAGCAGCAATTAAAAAATGGCTATACATGTCTGTGAAAAAGATACAAATAAAATGAAATGAAGTTAATTAAATGGTAAATACAGTTAGGAAAAAATGTGTAGAAAATTTGTTGACCTTCCGGAGAATGTAGAATATACAGGATATGATATCGGATAGATTTAAATAGAAATCTCTAGAATTCATCAGACGTGACCGGCAGTTAGAAATTCTCTTGAAATGATCTTAATCAATTCAAAAGTGAGCTTCTCCTTGTCTCGAATGATTTTCAACAGCTTTCATCGTGATAGAATGTATGGTTCAACGAAGATCGCGTAAGCATCTCTCATTTTCTATTGCTCTTGTGCTTGTCTTGCGAATTACGCTTTTCTCAGTCGCAAAAACCAATTCAAATTTACATTTGACGTTTAATTATTTCTGTTACTATTTACAATAGATCACACGCATTTCTTTAAGGCAGTAATAACATAACCTCGAAATATCACACGACAACTGAACGCACGCAGTCGCGTATCCAAAAAAGAAAGGTTTTCTCTACTTCCAGGACTTGAACACTTTTTAACTTATTTCCGTTACTTTCTTCACGTGGCGACTTTATGCATAAAAACGAAGGAAAAATAGAAGGAGCAAAAGCTGAAGAAACAGAAAAAGGACGAGTAAAATACAGGAAAGAGGAAGAATAGGAGGTAGAGGGGGGAAAAGAGCAGTGAGAAGAAAAAGTAAAATAAAAAGGAGAAGAAAAAGAAGTAAAAGAAGAAGACAAACTCACTCCCTCTCTATTTCTCTCGCTTCTTTAGTCTTGTGTTCATTCACTCATCTACGTTCCTCTCTTTCTTGATCTACCATAAAAGAATTTCGAAATCTCAAATTTCTTTCAAACTTACGATCGCATTACACAATTAGTAAAGAAATCCTGCACGGCGATTAAATTCGTCGTGTTTTATAATAGCAATAGAATTATCAATAATGAAATAATAATTGTTACGAACTAGAAATAATTATCAGTTATGTACAATGCAATATAATGATATTATAATAACGTAATAAATAAGCTCGAGGCGAACAAGTCTATGCCTACTTTATAGAAGTATATTTACCATTTCACACGATAACGCTTAGCTTTCTCACTTAACGATCGCCCCCTGGTTAGTAAGAATTAATTACAAGTCGTCATTATCTTTCTCTCTGACGAGCAGGCCAATGTGTGTGAATGTGTATGTGTGTATGCACATGCGAGCGTGTGTATTTTCTCATAATATACAATTAAATCTCTTCGGGTGTGTTATTTTTTCTCGTCGTTACTCACGGCAAAAAAATCACCTCGGATTTCTTTCTTTCTGTCTTTCTTTTTCTTTAAAATTCTTCAGTATTCTTTTCCAGGTAAACAAAAATATATTTGGCGTACGGGATAAATCTAACCGTAATTTATACCGTGACGCCACTTAATCGCGTGTACACGCGATATCTCGACACGAATCGACTATATCCTCCTTGGGATGCGCGAAAAAAGGAACGAACTACCGATTTGAATCTGTTCTTCGGAGTATCACCGACTATCATGAGATCTTGAGCAGCAGATCTCAAAGAATGTGCGGTACAGATATGTCTCTAGCAGTGAACCTTTTTTATCTAGTTGTTATCTAACAACAGCAAGGTAAATCGTTAACTTCCTTTTTATTTCGTCAAGAATATATTTACCGTTTTCCGTGAAAAAATCAACAAAGAACGGTACTCTATCATCAAATAATTTCTGTTCCTTTCTCGGGTTAAAATATATAGATGAAGAAACAAAGGGGGATGAAATCAAAGCTTCTTGATCATAAACTTTCATGATATATACAACCCCCCTTTTCTTTTCTTCCTCAATATTCGTTTCAAGGGAACGATCGTTCGTTTACCTTTTTTTTCCCCTTGGTTTTTCTTTCTTTGTTCATGTACGTGTGTACTTATATATATATATATATATATATAAT